GCTCTCAGTTCTAATCGTTACTCGTATCTGCTAAAATCATGTTGCAGCTGGTGAGTCAAGGAGAAACGCACAAACTTGATCGTCACTGCTTAACTCTGATGGTTCCCCCCCCCCCCATAAGCTGGCACTCCAAACAAACATCGATCTGAGACTCTTCCACGAAAGTTACTAGACGAACCGCCTGACAATACCCATCCACGCACTTCCTACTGCAGCGCCGAGTTGTTGGCTCAGCCACCGTGCTTGCCTCTTCAATTCTTGTTTCCGAGACACAGTACACATCAGTGCCAAGCGAGTCTGGAGCAGCTGCTTGCTTCACAGTGCAGACACTGAAAGCAGTTAGTTAGACTGAGCATCGAGTCTTGAAGATTGATCTCGGGTGGCGGATAATGGGCAGATGTTGCCTGCAAAATCGATGCACTGAGATCGCAGTCATCAGTCCTACAAGGAGGGACCTATTAATGGGGTGGGGAGAGGTATGTGAAAGAGAACGAAGGAAGGCGTCAGCAGTAGCCTGTTAACCCCTACCTGCTCTGTTGTATGCAGCGAGTACTGGGACCCGCCTAATGGCGATAGCTGATAAGGCATGAGTTCATTTGTACCTGTGCTTCCCTGGGATACTGACGTAGACAGAATGAAGCTTGAAGTTCTCAACCAAAGTTTTTGTCTCAAAAGCCTGACCACAAGACAGAGGATTTCAGCGGGAAATGCAGATTCATTTCAATTTTTTCATGGAACAAGTCGCCACAAACCTGAAGGACCAGAAGACTGTGTTTGTCAGACCTCTAACCATTGACCAACCTCATATGAGGACGATTAGGGTCCCCAACAAACCAGAAGACTTGTTTGTCAGACCTCTAACCATTGACCAACCTCATATGAGGACGATTAGGGTCCCCAACAAAAGACTTTGACTCAAAAGCCAGTGGTGTTCGGCTGCAGATGCATGGAACACGTCTCCAATCATGTTCCAAACTCCAGCCTGGACGGTTAGCAGACATTGCTGGTCAGTTGACCAATGTGGTGTGAGAGACACCGGTACAACTCAACTCACAAACCAGTTTTTGGATCACCCAGTTGGTTTGAGGTGGAGGCTGATCAATCAGGACACACGCCACTTCGATTATTTGGGGTTCGAATTTGGGAAAAATCGATAAAACTACGAAATCACGAGCAAAACTCATTCTACAGGGATAACGCATGTATGAATCTTTACCACATGCACCAAAGTCATGCTGTCTAATATTGATTTTTCACCACCAGTGGTGTAGACACCTGGTTAGGACACCCATACTTGGCTTGTACAACTAATCCCGGCCAAACAGAGCTTATCTTACTGGAACAAACAATGGGAATGCTAGGTGGCCATTGTTTTGATCAAGAATCCAAGGTCATTGTTGCATAACGGAGCGTTAGACGAAGTCATTCAGCTTGGTGACCGACCGGGTTGTATGAATCTAGTCTAAATCCAAGAAGCTCTTTGTCTGGCAAAAAGATGGACAGTCAACGAGCAGTCAACGATCGAACTATTCAAAAGTTGTCCGATTTTATTGACCACATCTTAAGATGTCTAGATAAGGCGGAACACCAAAGTCATTAACATCAGCAAGCTAACTACTCAAACGTTTGTCCCGTGTGACTAATTTCCGCAACGCTCTGAACGACTCCACGAGTTGTATCGATCGCTTATCCTACCTGTCAGGGCTTCTCAGTCAGGTGGCCTGAGAGTAGACGTAAACTACTTCAGTTTTTATTGGACGACTGAAGGGGAGGTGTTACCACATGCTGACTGACATGGGCGTCATATGCTACTCATGATCCACGTCGCATGAAAATGAGGGTTTCGTTTGCTCTAAATTCTAGGTAAAAAATATAGTTAGGTTTATGTTCGGGAACACTCCGTGCACAAATCTAATATAAGGAAATGTTAGCGCGCAAAAAAAACAAGCACAAAGTGGGATATGATCATGGGCTTGCATTGCTGCTCAACACGTCGGCGATTCTCGCTTATGAATTGACTGTGGCAGAGATAAATGACAGCCTTTGGGCGTCCGAGAGATATTTGGCCGAGAAGTTCAGAGCAAGTTGTTGGATTTACACATGTTTGCATTCGTGTAGCTCCCGTACGGTTTTATGGGAGTTCTCTCAGACGGGCTCTTTGAATTTGAACTCACCCGTCCTTGAAACTCAAACCGAGTACGCCAGTCACCGATCGATATACGAGAGGTTATCGCAGCGTCCCTTTACCAAACATGGACTCGCATACCTAAATTGCAGGCACAAGATGCCACATGTGCAAACGTATAAAAGGACATCTCACAAACGTAGCCTCGACAATCACGGATGTAAATGTGGCAGAGATAAATGACAGCTTTTGGGCGTCTGAGAGATATTTGGCCGAGATGTTCAGAGCAAGTTGTTGGATTTACACCTGTTTGCATTCGTATAGCTCCCGTACGATTTTATGGGAGTTCTCTCAGACGGGCTCTTTGAATTTGAACTCACCCGTCCTTGAAACTCAAACCGAGTACGCCAGTCACCGATCGATATACGAGAGGTTATCGCAGCGTCCCTTTACCAAACATGGACTCGCATACCTAAATTGCAGGCACAAGATGCCACGTGTGCAAACGTATAAAAGGACATCTCACAAACGTAGCCTCGACAATCACGGATATAAACCGAGATTCATAGGTTGAAAATGCACTTGAAAGCAGATGTATTAAATATATTGCAAGAATAACAGTTGTTCATTTGAAACATCCCTCCGATGATTGGCTGTCATCCAAAGAAAGAATGAGGGCTTGGGGACTACCAGGTGGCTCAAACCTAGGCAGAAGTCAGGAAAGGGTTTCGAATCACAGACATTCCGGTCTCAAACTTGGACATCGCTCTTCTTGGATCTGACGCCATGGTAATGTAGACAATATTGAATAATCCAAATAATTCTGCCTCACGGTTCAACCAGCAAAGTATGGAGTGCTACTGGGTGGGTTCGAACCCAAGACAAATTTGTTTACCTGGGAAGCTGTATCAGTTCCGGTGATCTCGCAAAAGATGATAGTTGCACCGGGAAGGTCAGAGCAGCTTTTGTGAACCTACGTCACCTGTGGTGTAGGCGTTACGTCAGCCTCTCTATCAACGGTCGAGTTTGCAATGCTGCGGTGCACTCCATATTACTATATGAATCGGAAACCTGGCCTCTGGGCGCAGAGGACGTGAAAATACCTTCAGTGTTCGGTCGTCGATATTTTCTGAGCATTACTCGAGTCTGGTGGGAATACAGGATCAGCAATACTGAAGTACGTCGAACGGGAGAAATAACTCACCCTCGATAGATGAACTGATCACGCTGCATAGGTTGAGCTGGCTTGGTCACGTGCTGCGGATGCCAGTCGACCGACGTCCTCGAAGTACTATTTTCGCACAACCACGTGAAGGGTGGAAACGCGCCAAAGGACTTGGAAGCGAAGTGCAAAGGCCAACGGTGTTAGACACTGGCAGATTTGGCCCAGTCGCGCACTCAATGGCGCTCATGCATCCAAGCTATTGCCTTCAATGCATTGCTCCCTTCCCAATCCCGCCACTTATCAGTCCACCTGCAGTGCTGTATTTCCGCACCAATTTATCAGCTCCCGCCTCCAATGCGTAGCTATCAACCTTACCTCCCCGAATCATCGGCGAACGAAACTGCGGCAGCTACAACCACTGTACGAAAAGTACGCGGTTATTCCAGCTGATAATGATAATCTTGACTGACTATACCAGGTGTCACGATTAGTTAATTTGCACTTATTCGTTTTTTCTACAGAGGATCTAGCGGTTCGTGACGGTGTCGGGTAACACCGTTCTTCAGAGACATCTACAGCATTAGTTGGTCCAGTTAATCCCCGAACTCAACGGTTTTGTTGCATGTGTTTTGCGGAGCGGAGCTATGTTTGGGAGTTCCCTGCTGGGAGCTGGGGGATCAAGGGTGAACCAAGTTTCACGGAGACGATGCAAGCTCTCCTGATTCAGGGGGCTCACTAGAAGATGCTAGTGCGTTTATGCAACTTCCCCGTTTTTTCGGGGCTTTTCCCATTGAGAAATCTAGGGTTACCTCTCAATCAGAATGGACAATTTTTCACACAATTAGGCAGCTAAATATGTGATTCCAAGAGAAAATCCCTTAAGGAAATTGTACATTTTAATCGAATTTGAAGAGTGGACGTACGTCGGAATGGCGAACATTCATTTAACCTAGCCACTGCTTGAGTTCTGTCTCTTGACACTAGCACAGTCAGAATTGTACTGAGTTTCGCTCACCCACAACCGGGTGTCGCTTTGTGGCAAACGTCTGGGTGCTTGATGAGTCAAATGAGTTTCGTTCACGTAATTCGTTTGCCCTCAAATTTATCCAATCTAGTACTGTTCTTTTATTGGTTTAAGTGCCTCTGAACAACTGTCCAATGTGGTATTTTCCAACATGAGCTTTACTCACCCGTTCCTTAGCAGTAAGTCGTGCCACCGCGTGCAGTAAAATTTCAAATTAGGAGTAAACATTTTTTACCGTTATGTAGTACATCAATAAACCAAAGTGACTGAGGCATACACCTGCTGGGATGAACAAATATCGAGTTGCAAATTTGACCAAGTAAGGGGAATAAAACTTTAGAACTGATGTTTGTCGCAGAGTGAACAGTTTGATGAGAGCACCTTTCTGGGTAATTTTAAAACGGAGATGTGATTTGTGAAACACGTATGTTTCCACAGAAGCTGCGTTGGTTGGGACATGTGTTGCGTATGCCGAACCATCGTTTGCCGAAGAGAGTGCTGTTTTCCATGCCCAATTCAGAGTGGCGTAAACGGAGAGGTGGCCAACTCTTGACTTGGCAGAGGAGTATGAAGGAGATCACGAAACGCTTGGGCGCTGCAGGTATTACTCGACTTCCAGGATGGGGACCGCGTGATCCTCACTGCGCCTGGTTGGATATACTACACGATATGGCTGCCAACCGATGTCAGTGGCGTTCTTGTCGTAAGTTTCTATCAGATTGCCTGAGTGAATGTCTGGAGGTGTAGGCACCTCGGAATGATTGAGGTAAGCTAGCACTAAGTCCCTTCCCTGTCCACCTTTGCTCTTTTCTTGACAACAGGGCTTTCACATCAATCATGGTTGTCCGGCAGTGATGATGGTGATGATCATCATCACCATCATCGTCGTCATCGTCATCATCACCATCAACATCGTCATCCTCCTCATCATCATCATCAACATCATCCCCATCATCATCGTCATCATTGTCATCCTCAAGAATATCTTCCTCAACAACATCATCGTCCTCATAATCTTCATCATCTTCATCATCATAACCATCATCATCATCATCGTCATCATCATCGTCATCATCATCATCATGGTGACGATGATGATGAGGATGGTGATGAGGTTGTTGAAGTGTCCAGAAGCTTGGAATCTCTCTGCAGGTTGACGACTGAATGTGTCCTCTGATTGTCTTAAATGCGTCCAGTTTACTTCGGACTGGTTATCATGGCTCATCCTGGTTCTCACATTAATTCGCTAAACTGAAGCACCTTGCTTGCTTAGATCAAAATCGCGTGGAAGCTAAAAAGAACTCAATATAAATTTCGTTTATTTTTCTCGATCTCCAAGTGTATTTCAAGAGTAATACGGTTTATTAGAGTAAGGCTCTATACTACTGATGAAACAGCTGAATAGTATCTCATCAGATGACAAAGCGCCATTTCCCTATCTTATGGAATGTTGGTACGAAAATTACTGTTCAACATTCAAAGAACGTTCACAAATGGTTCAAGATGACGCCTGTGAATGTTTGTTGTTCAAAACCTCCATGCAAATAAGGTTTTCACCTCCCTTCACTGGTAATTTTAACTCGATCGATTGATCCTTTTTCGTCGGTTTTAAAAAAGTCCTTTTGGTCCACAAGCAGTCTTTCCGTGCATGTTGAACCACTGTGACTAGCAGACAGAGTCGATTTTGCTGCAACACTACTTTTGAAGTAAAAGTAGCTTCCAGCCGCCCACTTCGTTGTTGTCGCACCTAATTAGTTCCGAACTCCTTTCACTGTGTCAGACGTTCAGCTTGATTGAAGACAAATGCGAGAAAAAAAGCAACGAAATGCGTGGTCAGCAGCGTGGAAATCGATAATAGATGGTGATGATGATGGTGAGATTGTCTCAAAATATACAAGCTCAGCAGACGCAACGACGAATGAACGCTTGGCAATCATTCTCGCATTCTTATCATGGCTCGTCTTAGAATCGAATCGAATCTGGACGTGGTTCCCACATTGATTCGCTACATCAAAATACCTTGCTTGATCAACTCAAAACAGCATCGGATCTAGAACTTAGTTAGTAAAAATTTCGCTTATTCCTATCAATCTCTAAGCTTATTTCAAGATTACTTTGGTTTGCTAGATTAAAGGTTATACTACTGAGGAAGCACATGAGTAGTATCTGACCAGGTGAAAAGCGCCAACTTCATATCTGATAGAATGTTGTTACAGAAATTTGTGTTTAATATTCATAAAATGTCCACAACCGAATCAAGAGGACGCTTTACAGTGATGTTGTTGCCAGACGTTTGGTATGGTGCACTTTTCAGAGAGCAAGTTTACTTGTCACTGCTTCTAGATATTAAAGCATGACCGTCGTGTAACTGCCATCTCGTGTGACTCAAAATTTCAATTACAAACACTGATCATGAAACAGAGGTTAAAAAGTTAATCAAAAAGACAAGACGATGCGACATCTACTCTAAAAATTTGGCTCATGCAATGAATTGAGTTTAAGAAACGTGGGGAAAGATGACTGGTGTAGACAAAGGTAGCTTACATGCCCTGGAGAAGGAATAGGTGCCACAAGGCCGAACAGTTGTCCTCAAACTCCAGTTGTTCTCCTCAGAGGGTTCTCACCTATTTCATTGAAGAACTAGCCGATCCGATCAACGATTTGTCTGAGGGGACGATAAAGCTGGTATCTATGGGAATGTACTGTGGTTAAAATTCCCGCAAACCGGAAGAAAAAAGGCTATTATTCTGTTCTGTCTGAGTTATGCACTGCAAATTTTTATGTAGATATGACTTGAGATAGACACAGAGACAAGGAATAAGAACTTCTCCTCACCAGTCAAATTAATCGATAGTCGATCATTCTTGGTGATCACACACCCTGTGCGTCTTTTAGCATAAACCTGATGTTGTCCCTTGCCAAACAATGTCCGAGAAACCTGATTTGCACGAGTCCTTGTTAGGAGGTGGTCTAAATGAGGAGAGACAAGAAAAACCACGAGCATTTGCGGACAGGGTACTTATTCTGTACAAAAAGGATCCTCGCAAATACGGAACCAGTGTCGGTGGTGAACGCGGACTTCCAATGTCATTCATGCACTCCCAAACATTTTGGAATACACCACTTGGTATCGTCTAAACTCACCATATCCAGTTCCAGAAAATTCAACGGTGAACGGTTGCTATGGTGGTTTCAACTCGGTGCTGGGGTGTTTTTGGGGTGAGGCATACATAAAGTAATATTTTGCTGACGCGGACATAAGCAGACAAGTGAAGAGGTAACATTTATAAGCTAACAACCCAAGACCGGTTTTGCGCTTCCACTTTGGGCTCATTAGGTAGACGCAGTCCCCGAGTCTCCGTCAACTTCATATTCTACTTGGAACCGAATTGCTCGGAATTGCAAATAAGTGTATTCTTTATTCAGGATTTGCGCGCACTTTCACGCGCGATATTCTCCTGTAGTTAGCCTTTACATTGGTCACACTTTAAGTGAGGACTAAAGTGGTTTCATACACACTGAATTGTAAAAGACCAATCTACTAACTTGCCCTGACGAGTCACAGTGTCTCCATTCACCCCTCAACCACTAACTTCTTTCTTTCTTCAACAATCATTTTTACTGACTTATCTAGTCAACTGCTTTGAGAGCACCCTCAGATTGAGCGGTGGCTCCAGGCAATGTTGAAACGCTTTCGATCAATACTGGTTGCAGTTTTCATCGAGTTTCTTTGATCTTATCACCAGGGTGCTGAATGTGCGCTTTGTAGTCTTCGAAACATTGGAACATTAGTGAGTCTCATTCAAAGGAATTTCGGTCTACTTTCAATTTTTGATGTTCATAGGGACATATGAATCGACGAATTTTCAGCAACCTTATGAGTAGTGCATTATGAACACATAAATCCCGTTCACTTGCTCCTCATTAGAGACGTGGTTAGTTCTAGGTGGGGACTGGATTAACATGGTCCAATGATCACAACAAGACATGAGAACCCCGTGGGCAACGCACTGAGCAGTTGATCTCAGTCGACATTCATTCGTTTGTTGATTGATCGTACGGGGCTTCGAGCTTGTTCCATCAGTTTCTACAGCATTTTATAACCTCTCCGTAATGAATTTCACTTCAAGGAAGTATGAGACCATCTGCGTTCCTGATTCCGAGCCTCCTTAAACAGTTTAGTTTCCACTGGACAATCATAAATCGGCAGGAGAGAAGCGTTTTTTTATTGATTTCTCAAGATCCTTCCCCAAGACGATTGGTCGAATTATGAGCGATTGAACGCGAACGATTGGTCACAACTGACTACTCAGTGCGCTGTGACCAGGAGATGCCGCATACTGCGGCATCTTTATATTTTATTTTCCGACCCATTAATTTCCCCCGGACAGACAAATGTGTCCAACTTTACCCGGAGGCTGTAAAAAAAGAATGAAATTTCTCGTTCCACTGTTCAAACCGTTTTTATCTCTAGTTAACAGACCTTGTTTTGCATGCTGTCTTTTATCCAATCAACAAGCAGTTGACAAGTACTCGTAACGACCATGATTGACCGCGGGAACGTCACGTGACAGTCTCGTTTAAGGGAGCGTTGTACCACGACCGCTTGTGGAAATGAGAAAAATAAGACAGATCAAGGAGAAAAGTCCTAACAAGGGGTGGACTTGAAAAACCTTTGGTTCTAATTTTTTGGACGTTATCGTAGATGCTGATCGATTGGCAAGCTCGGGATATTGATCATACTGTGAGGTTTGATTTCATGTCAAAAAGCCTAGATGCACTTCAAAACTGCTTCATCCTTTCACGAAACACAGAGTTCACATCCTGTAGTTTCAACAATTAAACTTTCGGCCTCGAGTGGCTGTACAGCAATGTGATTAGCCCTCTCTTTTCCAGGTGGGTTGGATCACTAAGCTCCCCGAAAACCGGGTCACTAAATTTGGATTATTGGATTACTGCAAATCACCACCAATCTTTCGAAAGTGAAGAAACGGAATAGGGCGCTCAAAGCTCTCCACATCCAAGACTTCACCTCAGATGGCATGCCCCTTTGGGTGAAGGAACAGTTTACAGGATTTCAGCGTTCTCGATGTGCATAGATCCCGAGCGAAAAGGTGAAAAATCTTGTACAGTGTCGTTTCACATCGTGTGCAATGTTTGGACACGCTGTTGGAAAACCACAGCGGAATCTAGTGAGGGTTACGAAATTACGCCTGGCATAGTACAGATTTTAAATGCCAAAGAGTCAAGGTGCTTCTGAGTGACGTTGCTATGAAAACAGAAATACTTTGTGCTTTTTTCGATCCCAAAATTTCTCTGTAAGTTTCGCATCGAGTTTGTGACTGACTTGGTTTGACGACCGCACCATGCTTACTTGGAGAGAACAAAGAATGATATCCAAAAAAGCCACAGGTTGCTGAAAACCTCTCAGCAGCCTTATGAGTAGTGTGTTCCGTCAAGAGAATGAGCATCCAATATGACCAATTTATCCAGGAATTGGTACGAACAGTTTTTGAAGTAAACTGAGTAGTTTTTTGAATAGTTCAACAGTGCGATATCCACAATAGTCCCTCTCAGGAACGCAACCTCTCAATATGAAGCATCACACTGGAAAAGCGTTCCCACCGCACCTAAGAACAGGCGAAACATGAAAAATAGACAACCCGGAATGTACGACTTGTTTGATCAGTTTTTTGATCGTACTACCGATTGTAATTTAAGATATGTAGCCCGTTCAGCCACACTGGAGAGGTGATAAACACGCCTTATTCACACCTGTCAGCCGTTGGTTTTGGGCTTGGTCACTTTTGCCTAAACAATAAAGGCGTCTATATATACCACACCATATATCCCATATGTCCATATTTATGGTCATGTATCTATGTGTGTGGAGATTTCGTCCTGTAAGTGAAGCCAATCTGTGCTGAAAAGCCGACAAACACTGTACAGCTGTTGCATCCCTATTGGGAATCATCAGCAGTGCGCATCTCACGAAACTCCGGTAGGAAGTCTCGAACACGCGACATTCCGGCCAGTAGTTCTCACCGCTAAATTGGTCAAATCAATGTACAATTGTGGATAGTAGGCGAGCGGTGGTTACTGAAGTTACCACTCTCCTTACGACAATATCAGGAAATCGATCCATAGGAAATGGACTAAAATTGTCACGTTACCAGGTGGTCACTTTTAAAAAGCAGACGAATGGGTGGGGAACTACTCACAAGGTTGCTGAAAACTCTTCGACAGCCTACGACCGGTTTCGCCCTTCCAATTTAGGCTCATCAGGTAGGCGCAGTCCCCGAGATTCCGTCAACCTTATGTTCTACTTGAACTCCAATTGAACTGTTTTCGAGAAATACACTCATTTGCGAATCAATTTGGTTTTCACGAGAGACTCAACTGAATTTCTCGTTTATGATGTTGTACAACTGAATGTGCTGTACACAGGCCGCCTCATGTTTCAGTTGGCACGATATTCGAGATATCATAAACGAAACTACTCACAAGGTTGCTGAAAACTCTTCCACAGTCCACGATCGGTTTCGTCCTTCTTGGGGCCCATCAGGTACGTACAGTCCCCTGTGCACAAACTTGCGTGTACTTTCTGGTCGCATCCACAGACTGAATGTGGAAGTAATGCAACGGATAGACATGCCGGGCCTACTAATCACATCGCTCAAGTGAGAACACGTTCACCCGTTCAGATGTGAGAATTCAGATGCGTCCAACGTGCGCTGGTGGAATAGTGGTAACACGTTCGCCTCGCATGTCAGGTGTCCGGACTTCAAATCCCGGCACGCCCATTGGATATGCACTGCTGATGAGCTCTAACAAGAGCGAAACTCGAGTCCAGTGCTTCCCCCCCCCTTTGGTGTGGATTCACATGAATAATTGCGCCAGGACAGGAGGACGACTATTCTAAACGAGAGTGATATGAAACTGAACAATACACCTCCCGCAAAAACCATCACATGGATAGACATATATCGAGCGGATTAATTCGCCCTCACAAGGTCTACAAATCACCGTTGCCAAGCATCTAGAACTCAAGAAGTCAGGAGGGGTAGAGAGACGAAGTGGAATCTCCAGTGTGGACAAAATTGATTTGCAAATGAGTGTATTTCTCGAAAACAATGACTTATCTGGTGGATCCTGTCAAATTGTGTTCGCCACCTCGCTGTTCAACTCCACGTGACCGAGACTGCATTGGAGAGGTCCGCTCTCTCCCAAAAGGATCAATAATTGTTTTTCAGCGTTTCAAAGAGTCTCCCGCCAACGGAATGGTCAATTTTCTTGTCGAGTGTGAATTTCTCTCTAAATCTGAATGAAGGTCACAGTGTTGTTCAGACTTTACAAAAGAATGTTCCAAGAGCGAAACCTTGAGCTTCTCCGATTTTACTTTCCAGTATTCAGATAACCTTATACAATTCGATCTGGAATACGAATTTTGGCCGTTTCTTTTAAGTGGTTTATCCAGCCGGGTTGATTTTGTTCTCCGAAGGATCTCACTGTTCAGCATTTGATCTGTCCATTTGATTCAGAGAATTTTTTACAGACAGGGATATCAGTGAGCTCGGTCGAGATCTCGAACATGTCGTCCACTTAGCATCGAGTTTCCGCTACGACCGTAATGAATGCTTAATACTTTGCTGTCCTAGTGTCTATGCCCATGTGGCAAGCATGAGGCAAGCAAGACGCGTTTCCCAGAAGCGATCCAATCCACTTTGCAATTCGTGTGTTTGTTCCATTCTGATGTGAGCTGCCAGAATAGTAGGGTATGCCTCAGAAGTTTGTAAACGTAATCCGATCCCTAGATTTACATACTTCGGGGCGAGTGAGAGTGTATGGTGAGCTTTCCAAAAACTTCCCTACAAAAAGTGGTGTCAGACAAGGGTGTCCAGTCTCTCTCCAGTCTTGTTCAATTTCGTCATTGTTGAAATAATGAGGCGAACACTGGACGGTCTTCAAAACTCCGGTGTTCAAATTGTTGCTGGTGAGAGCCTTGTCGATTTGGAGTACGCAGATGACATCGCTGTCGTCTTTGAAGACCAAGCCCTGTTGAATAAACTGGCCACCATCATACCATCTTTTGCCATATGCCTTGCAAAGTCATGCTTCAGAACATATCTCTTGCAATTCAAGAAGAATCATTAGAGATTGTGGAAAACTCTACATACCTCGGTAGTTGTATTAGCTCTGACAGAAGTGTGTCTGATGAAGTCACTGCAAGAATCTCAAAGGCTCGAATCACATTTACTAATTTGCGTCACTTGTGGCGTCCACTATATACGTACGCCCAAAAGGCGTTTCTGCACCCGGTACGTTTATTAGTTGAATCAGCGGACCGAGCTCATGGTTTTCCCCTTACTTCAAAATTGTAAGGTTACTCTATTGATCATCTTATGTAGAATGCATTGTTTCGAATGGGTCTGTCTTCCAATAGTTCAACATAAATTTTACTTCACTCGTTTTGACAGTTGTCCTTCAACCGAGATCCGGCATAAGTGCGTCTGACAAGGAAGAGCTTACCGCCCGGTGCACCAGTCTTTTGCCTGTCTCCAAACGAATGTTACGCCATTTCGATTTAAGACAGCTGGGTTCTCACCGCTCCCTACGTGGAGTGAGACCGTGTCACAGAACCAGCTTGTGTAAGCTGTTTCAGCGTATTGCCTCTGCCAAAAATAAAAACTTAGTTGTTCGCGATCAAATTTAGTGTCATATTTATGACGTTCTTTGTACGAGATTTCAGAGCAGCTTGGCTTGAAAATTAGTTTCACATACCCATTGTTTGTAATTACTGAATTGATTGGAAAAAAATCTCTCCAGGTTATCACAAAGGAGCTACTCACAAGCATGGTGAAAATTGTTTGCCAGAAATAGTTCGGTTTCACCCCTCTTGGGGCTCATGAGGTACACGCAATCCACAAGCTTCTTTCATCTGAATCTCCTATGAAATAAAACAACCTGGGTGTGAGAATGTCGAATTTGGTGCCATTTTGGGTTCAAGTGGAACATAAGGTTGACGGAAACGCGTGGACTGCGCCTACCTGATGAGCCCAAAGTGGAAGGGCGAAACCGGTCGTGGGCTGTCGAAGAGTTTTCAGCGACCTTGTGATTAGTTTCCTTTATGAAAATATACTGCGGTATGTGGAATATCGTGCCAAGTGAATCAACGGGCGGCCTGTGTGCAGCACATTCAGTTGTAGAATATCATAAACGAGAGATTCAGTTGAGCCCCTCGTGAAAACCAAATTGATTTGCAAATGAGTGCGTTTCTCGAAAACAGTCCATTTTGGGTTCAAGTGGAACATAAGGTTGATGGAAAATCGGGGACTGCGCCTACCTGATGAGCCCAAAGCAGAAGGGCGAAACCGACGAAACCGGTCATGGGCCCTCCAAGAGTTTTCAGCGTCCTTGTGAGTAGTTTCCGTTATGAAAATACAGTGTGATATTTCGAATATCGCGCCAATTGAAACATGAGGCAACCTGTGTGCAGGACATCCGGTTGTAGAATTTTATAAACAAAAGATTCAGTTGAGTCTCTAGTGAAAACCAAGTTGACAAGCGTGCTTTGCGAGAAAAAGGTTGTTCACCGTTAGATAATGGCTTAATTCCAAGCCGTACTGTTGTAAAAAAATCGATACAAAATGTAGACAGAGTGCAAACCCTCGTATCTTCCTAAATTGCCTTCAGTTATCGTTCCAAAGTTTCGTTTTGAGTAGCATTTTTGCCCCTTGTAACGTGGGGGGGGGACGCTCAGCGGGGTCAACATGAATACGACCGAGTTTAAAATGATAAAATGTGGATAGATTTTGTGGAAAGCCAACAGTGTTTTACTAGTGTACAGTACAGTGGAGCCCACAATTTTGTGGTGCACAGATCTACCCCATCCCTGTGTTTTGTGACTTGCCTAGCCTTACTGTTTGTGTGGCTGAGTTTGGAAGCAGAATAACTTTATCAAATCTGCAGACTAAACAGAGTGACAGAGGGAGACTGTCCACAATCAAGTGAGATACTCTGTAATCTCGCCCAGACATGCGAGAATGATTGCCAAGCGTTCATTCGTCGTTGCGTCTACTGAGCTTGTATATTTCGAGACAATCTCACCATCATCATCACCATCTATTATCGATTTCCACGCTGCTGACCACGCATTTCGTTGCTTTTTTTCTCGCATTTGTCTTCAATCAAGCTGAACGTCTGACACAGTGAAAGGAGTTCGGAACTAATTAGGTGCGACAACAAACGAAGTGGGCGGCTGGAAGCTACTTTTACTTCAAAAGTAGTGTTGCAGCAAAATCGACTCTGTCTGCTATTCACAGTGGTTCAACATGCACGGAAAGACTGCTTGTGGACCAAAAGGACTTTTTTAAAACCGACGAAAAAGGATCAATCGATCGAGTTAAAATTACCAGTGAAGGGAGGTGAAAACCTTATTTGCATGGAGTTTTTGAACGTCCTCCAGATTTTTTGTGGACTCTCTAAGAGTATTAAACACTAATTTCCGTGCCAACATTCCATCAGATATGAAGATGATGCTTCGTTACCCGACCAGACACTACTCACGTGTTTCATCAGTAGTATAGAACCTTAGTCTAGCATTCCAAACTATCCTTGAAATGCATTTGAAGATCGAGAAGAGTAGACGAACTTTATATTGATTAGGTTTTAAATCTGATTCGTTTTTGAATTGGTCAAGCAAAATACTTTCATTTAGCGAACTAATGATAAGAATTTCTAAGTAAACTGAACGCATTTGATGCAATCACAAGACATCTTCGATCGATAACCTGCAGAGGGTTTGCAAGCTTTCGGACACTGTAGCGCTCATCCATGAGTGGCTACCCATTCGTAGGATTAACTCATGCTCAGGGCACAACGCAGATTTCCTTCAGACATGTCACGTGGTTCTATGCTGACAGATTCCCCGGGAGGGAAATTTCTGGCAGGATAGCTGTGGAATTTTCCTCCCTCTGAAAAGATTTTATCTGGTTTATGCGTAATGGGCAAAAAGTACTGGTTCTCTCCCTACTCTTCATTGCCTCACAAATCGTAAGTAGGCTGTTCAGAGAGAAAAAATTCAAGAAACCTAACGGTTAATCCATCTGAACCCTGGTCACTCAGGCAGCCGGGAAAGTAGGATAAATTGCCATGAACAACGAGTAATTTAGTATTTTACATGAAAGATCGTACAGTGTTTTAAAATATCAAGAGAATTAGGAGAATCTGTATGTGGAAAACCCCGAAGAGTGCTGATGGTCTTACCCAATCCTTTTACCTTGACTATATTTTCCAATGTGAATGAATTATCCTAGTTTCCAACATAGTCTTCCATAGAAGCAGTAATTGTCACTTTACGGTAACCCGGAATACTTAGTCTAGTCTAAGTTCGAACCCATCCCCCACAGCACAAATGAATCGCGTATGTTCTTAAACACGTGTTTGAAAATTTGTCTTCTTACGATGTGGTTAACTTAGACAATAGCTATTAGTCGACATTGTTCTTTTGACGCTACAAATGGC